TTTATTTAACAACACTTACCTGCCCATGTAATTGCAGAATTGTTAATGAAAATATAGGAATTATATTTGAATTTTAACCTAATTAATATTAATAACTTCTTACATGATGAAAAAAAACAACAAATAAATTATGAATTAATCTTTTTATTAAAAAATATCATTCAATACATTTATTTTTATTAAAAGTAAAAAAATGGAATAAAGGGTACAGAAACTACAATTTATAATTTTAATCATCTTCTTCCTCTTCATCGTCGTCTTCCGGCTGCTGGTAAATTTCAAACTGGTCTTCATTATCGTCTTCAACGGCATTTGTCTCAAGTTCTTCCATGATTTCGGGGTCAAAGGTTCCATCTTCGTTAATGTCGCTCTGATATGGTAGGGCATTGAGACAAGCTTGCCCATTACATTGGCCACAAGCTAAAGAGCATTGCAAGTCCGCTTTCATGCATCCGCATCGCGAACCACAACCACTCTTGCAGTTGCAGAAAATTGTATTTAGCAAATCTTCTGGAGCAGGTGGTAAAATTGTCATGATAGGCTCCAGAAAATCGTTTCGCATTGCCCAACCCCATACCTGGGGTTCCAAATCATGCCCTAACCAAGTTTGAACTTGATAATATACACGTTTGAAAGGTTGATGAGCAGCTGCAATTGTTGGTGGAATATTTGAAAGCTGCACAGGTTTATTAAGTTTTGTAGACTTGACGTAATGCATATAACGAAGATGATCGAGACTATTCACAGATTTCGAAGCATTATAGACTGCTAATAAGGTTCGAGTTCCACTTTCTAATAATCTCTGGGCCGAACAATTTCCTTCCAAATTTGTCAGTTTCTCAAAAACTTTTAAAAATTATTTTTTTCCCTTTTCAAAAAGCGCAGAAGTTGTGTCACAGCCACTTAATGCGTGCAGAAATAAGATATGCGTTTTGGAATGAGGATAACTATCAAAACTTTTAGTCGAATATATCTCCGTTTTTACATTTCCTTTCCCAACTTTTTTAAAGAAAATTTCTTGTTCGTAAGACAGTGTACGCCCAATTAAAATGACAAGTAAATCAATATCTTGTCCTATTATAACTGCAGCTTTTTCAAACTTTGATTCTTCAATTGTAGTTTCAACAATAAGAACATCCGCATCATCTCTAGCTTGTTTAGTAGTAATATTTGCAGCTTGTAATTTTTCAATTAACATATTAATGAGCATATCTTTGTTATTTCGATTTGATAAGAGTTTTTCTTGAGTAACTGGTACAACCATTGTTTTATCGAAACAGACTTCATACGTTTTTGAAAGTGCAGCAATTCTTCTCTGCTGCTCCATAGCTTTTACGTTCTTACTGTAGTCTGAATATCCGTCAAATACAACAATTATTTTGGAACTGTAATGCCTTTGTAAATAATTCATGTATTTATCAAAAATAATAGAAAAATTATCTTCTCTGCTCCATACAACATGATGAAGAAGAAATCCGCCATCAATAATGAACGTCACATTATTTTCATTGAGAACAAAATCAATTGGGCTCATATGACGACAATGACGATTTTGTTGTTTTTCTCATGCCATCATTATCAAATAGAGCTGTTGGATGCGGACTCAATTCATATTGAAGATATTCTTCAAGATAACTTTCAAATTGTTTGCTGACAGTAATTCTTTGGAAGAGTAATAATGGATCCACTGCAACTTTAAAATCATTTATTTTTACAGCTTTGTTAACACTGGAAAGCGGCATTACTTTTTCGGAACGTTTCAACTTTATTTCATTAAATGATAAGCCGGTGATCTTCTTCATAGACTCTAATCTAATTTCGTAAGCTCTATGGCAGTTAATTTGCTCATTTCCAACAACTCCAGAAGCTATCGATTTTAACTGCGTAGTATTTGAAAAAGGATCATGAAGTTTAAACCAATCAAATAGTATATTTACGTCAGTATTGTATTTTTTCACTCTTGAGTCTCTGGAATCTACGTGTTGCTCGGTCGACTCCAAGGAGATTACAGAACTTCTCCATTTCCTCACAATATTGATAATAAATACAAATAGCAAAAAACCCATAGGAAATGAGATATTTACAAAAAAAGCGCAAAAAACCGATTTTTGTGACCTTTGACCTTGAAATTTAATAGTTGCGTACACCCTACCATATGTAGGTTTTAAGACAACTTTTAGGGTGTCAATATACAAGTATTTACAGACTTACAGCTGGGTATATCGAATTCCGAGATTCTTACCTAATTTAAGCTTAAATGACTGGACTAATACAGAAAGTTTACGGTGGACGGCCCAAACTGGCTTGAAATTCGGATTCAGCGGGTCAAAATACATGCCGGTAGGTAGGTCGTGTCTGATGTACAAACAACTTTATTTTTGGTGTGCCTGTGTTATTATTGGCATAAACAATTAAAAGCCATCTACATTTTAATTTTAAAGTATGTGCTGTTTAGGTATGCTTTTCTCTAAAACCATTGGAAATTTGGTAATAATTTATAAAAAGGTTGTGAAATTAATACAAAAGAAAATTACAGCAATACAAGGTGTCTGACTATAAAGTAACACATTTTAACAGCTTAAAACTCAGGAATGGAAAAAGATATCGATGTGCAGTTTTCGATAAACTTCTTACATTTGCTTTTGTTGACATAGTTGCCAAATATATATTTTTCCCAAAATTTTAGAAAAAATGCCTTTTTACATTGTCTGTTTATAAATTTGAGTGTGTTCTTTCTTGGTCTACTTCTAATAAATTATTTGACGTTTCTTTACGTCAGTTATATTTTTTTCAAAGTACCTTGATAAAACGGTGTCTAATATGTCAGGCGGCTTTGGAAAAAAGACGCAGTTGATTATAAAAGTATCAGATCAATTTTTATTTGAAGTAAACAAGAAAATACACCCATAAAAATTTGTAAAAAATTAATACACTTTAATAAAAAATTCCAGCATTCTTATACATGTTTTTCATCTAGATTCATAAAAAAATATCTTTCTCAAACCGTTTAATAAATAATCACAATGTATACATTTTTAAAAAGGGGAAGAAAGAGACTTCCAGATGGTTTGAAAACATATATGGTGTTCTATTTAAAGTAAACCGATAATTTGGTTTAAAAAAAAGCCAAATTTTTTCCGGCTGTTTAGAGAAAAAATACACATTTGGTAACACAAACTTGAAGCAAATGTAAGAAGTTTCGAGTTATACGCTGTTAAAATGTGTTGCTTTATAGTGGGTCACCCTGTATTTTACTAGACAATATTTGGTCCAACGCTACATTTTGGTCTAAAAATCTGAGGGTATTTCAAAAAGGTATGTCATAAATTCATCCTCAGATAGATTACCAAAAAATAAGTGGATTTGGCTATATTTACCTATATCAAAAACTGGCTCCCAACAAAGTTACAGGGTGTTAAACTAACATTCAGAAAAACGTTTTTCTTGGGTACTTTATAGGTGGTCATTTTTATATTTTATGGAATATATCTGTTATTTACGTTTGGGGAAGAAAATTCTTTAAATAGAAGTTACTTCTTATATTATTATATAAAATTTGTTCTATACAAAATTTTCATAAAATGGTCCGTATTCGAGAAATTTGACAAAATGTAAAAAAATATTTTTTTTATAAAAATTGTTCAAACAAAAGTTGTTTGTAATATAATTCTCTATAATTTTGACCCTTTACATAATTTCTCTAGAATGGACCGTATTCGAGATATTTGAGAAAATGTGTAAATTTCGAAATTTGAGTAAAACTCAAAAACGGATAAAAAAAACATTAAACTTTAAGTTTTATTTCGGCCTGACGTGAAATGATTAGATTTTAGACAAAGTCGGAACATCTGGGGAGTACTTTATGGGAGGCCGTTTTTATATTTTATGGAATTTATCTGTTATGTTTGGAGAAAAAAATAGTTCAAATAAAAGTTACTTCTAATATTATTATCTATAATTTTTGTTTTATGTCAAAATTTCCTGAAATGGTCCGTATTCGAGAAATTTGACAACATGTGCAAAATTCTGATTTTTATGAAAATTGTTGAACTAAAAGTTGTTTGCGATATCGATCTCTATAATTTTTGTTTATACATGATTTTTCTAAAATGGACCGTAATGGAAAAATTGTAGGAAAAGTGCTCATTTAAATTTTTTAGTAATTTCGTTTTCAATGAATATCTATAGAAAAATGTTTCGAGGTAGATGTATGTGAAAAATGTATATATTTAGTTTATCCTTTAAACATTTATAGAGGTGCTGCAATATGTTGTACAAAATAACCGAAAAAAGCCTGTAATAACTAGATAAGAAAGTCATGTGTTGGACACATCAGATTTTTATACCTGAAAACGTAAGAAATTGATAAATACTAACTCATAATGTTATTTAGATTATTTTTTTCTATTGATTACCATTATATTTCCCTACACTAAGAACTTTTTTAGAATTATTATGATTTCTTACGCATAATGAATATAATTTCGAAAAGCGTGAAATTTCCCACAAGGGCCATCAAACCGATTTGCAATATTGTAAAAGATGGGTCAGCATTAGAAATTTAAAAAAAAATCTTTTTTTTACATGCATTTTAAATGGTAAAACTTTAAATTTAAATAGTAAGTACTTAAAATTGATATTAAGAGCTCAAACTTGGTGAGAATTTCTTTTTCTATATGTAGATTAATATTTTGCTTGAGCACCGAAAAAAAAAACAAAATTTTTCGGAACTGAATCACCCTAATATGTAACAATGTATGAAGAACTTTGATGTTTAATGGATTAGTTTCTGTGTTAACTGATTTACTTAAATGTGTTTATCGCTAAATCTGTAAAAATTGTAGATTACCAAAATGTGTTAACTTCGAATCTATTATCTAACATAAGTCAACGTAACCCACCATCATGCATCTCTCGGATTAAAAATAATGCGTTTGCCTGTACATCATCCGAAAGATATATCTATACGATTTCTCTTGATCTAATTTTATCTTTTTCAGATATCCGAACCTCACCTCGACACCAAGCGGGCTTGTCTGTGCGTGGAGTCCGTTCTTGAAAGACTGTCAGGAAGGCAGTTAGTCGTAACGAGAAACTGGCAGACCTTCCACACGGAGGTGGTGGAGAAACGCGAACTCCTGGTGCGCCTTGAATTGACCATGGAGGAGAGCACCAAGGTTAGTAAATTAAAAAAAATAGTTAGAGTTTATGATGTGACACCTGTGGATCTACCTTGCCTACCTACACGTCGCGGATGATAAATTTAGTGTTGGAAACTATTGAGTTATAGTGCACTGAAGGATTTTTGTTGTTAGTGGTTTTTAAAATGTAGTGTATTATCCTACCTTATAGAATTCAACACGTAGCGTTATTATGCTCTTCAAACATTATTTCTATTTATATTGAGATTTTCTTTTAAATATTTGTCTTTAGTGATCATACCACCCTTTTATAGGGTATTTTTTTAATTTAGTGGCTTTGGTAATATTTACCCAATTAGCCAGAGTTTCATTTTTATATTTATTAATGTGTGTTATTTGTCGGCTTTCTGACTATTTCCTAGCGCCACTTTAGGAACAACACTATGAGTAATTAAAAAATCTAATTCAATTTATACAGTAATTTCGCAAACCATCAGATTTAGATAGGTTCAATTAAGTATTATGAAAAAAGTTGGGTACTATATGGACTTATTTGATGATAGATATTAATAAATTTATAATAGAAAAGTTGGTTCAAGATAAATTTGTAAAAATGTGAAATTCTGATTTCGTTTCTTTAATCGTTTTTATTTTCACAAATAGAAGAAATATTAATACCTAACAATATTCATTACGACGTTATATGCTGTCAGGAAAATGTTTTTTTTAACACATTACATGCCACGTCTCTCATATATGCGAGACACAAACATTTCTCCGGGGGCTTCGTCGCTCATTTATGAGAGACACGCATCTCACTTTCTGGCGATGTATATCAAATGTTATACCCGCTACCGTTTATTTCAAATGGAGAATCCCAAGCTTGGCCTCTGGGGAAAGTAATATTGTATTGGTTTGAGCAAATTTGGAAAAATAAATTTACCACGACAAATGTTTAAAAAATATCTATTTTGCATAATAAACGTAAAATTTATTCTGAAATAGCCTATTCGTAATAATGGAACAAAATTTATTCTGGGATTGCTTATTCTAATAACAAAATGAAAGTGTCTTTCGACTGCAAAAATAAAAAGAGAAACTGAAAAAATTTAAGAATTAATGTTATTGAAACATGACGCACACATTTGCGGTTTTCCGGGGCACTTGTCGCAATAATTGTATGTCAATTTAGCTATGCGTCGATCATATTTGAGAGATATGACCCCCAGCTTAAATATTACATTTTTTGCTTCAGGGTCACGTCGCTCATATATGAGAAACACATAAACGTGAAAAAAAAATAGCTAAAAACTGCAAAAAATAGCTAAAAACACAGAATTATCAAAAAACCTTTATTTTGAGTAATTATTACAAATATTGCAAAAATGTAGTTTGGCCCCTGGGGCTATTTTCCCGATAACAGCGTGGCACGCAATGTGTTAAATAAGGATCTGTATTTTTTTGTATTTTTGTGTATTTTTATTCATTTTTTTAAATAGGGAACGTTTTGATACCTTTGGTCCTTCCAGCGTAATGCGTGATGCAATCCTGAAATCAAACTTGTTATACTTATACAGGGTGGGCCAACGAAAACGAAACGGTTCAAGTTAGGGTTCAATTTATTTATCGAAAGGAAACCCTTTAGACTTATTTCCAAACCACAATCTTTAACCCCTTGATCAGGGTACTGTACACCCCTTAAACCTTAAATGGAAAAAGGGGTCCAGTGACACCTTGTTTGAAATTTCTTTCAATTCGTTTTGACATTCTGAATTGCAAATTTATTCGTTACATTCACAAAGACGCATTAAATTAAAATTAGTTTAATAAATGTTCAAAGTGCTGGATATTAATTTCCATGCCGTGATATAAGTTCTTCTCAAATCAATTTCTGACATTAAGGAGCATTGCTAATGTTATAAGGTGACACTCGTTAATAATTTCCTGCAGTAAATCTTGAAGGCAAGTTGGTTGACTAGCATAGATCTTAGATGTCCTCACAAAATAAATCTAACCGAGGCAAATCTGGTGATCTTGGTGGCCATTCAAGGCACCTTTTCTAACAATACACCTTCCTGGAATTGCTTAGTCTAAGTACACTCGCACATTCTATGCATAATGTGGAGGAGCACCGTCCTTTTGAAACATTATTCGATTTGGTAAATAGCGCTCATCGTTTTCCACTATTTGAGTAATGGCAGGTTCTATGAAATTTTCCAAAGATATCTAGATACATTTCTCCGTTCAGGATGCCGAGTAAAAAAAAAAAGGCCAATTAGATGGTCTCCGAAAATACCAGCCCACACGTTCAACTTTTCAGGATGTTGCGTGTGTGTCTCTTCTTGAATTTACTGCACTCCAGTAACGACAGTTGTGACGATTATAGTTCTATTGATTAAAAAAATAGTACTCGTCGAAAAAACAAATGTTAAATAATAAATGTGGTTCACTAATTCGCTTAATTACTGTCGCCTGTCAAAGTCGTTCTCGTTTAGCTCTTGCATCAATTGAATTTTATAAGGATGCCATTTATTTATGTTTTTTATGCTATTTTGCGGAACATCTGATAAATCACTCAACTTCCTCGTACTTAAAGTTTGATCTTGAGTCACGTAACCTGAAAGGAACATGCTCATCTATACAGATAGCAGACAAGCACTACTACTCACCCTGAACAAACCACGAATTTATTCAGGGTTAGTACTAGAATGTCACGAAGCTTTGGCCGAAGTATCCATCAAAAATGTAGTCACCTTAAGATGGATCAAAGGTCACGCTACATCGAAAGGTAACCGTCTTGCTGATTCACTAGCCAAGAAAGCAGCCAACCAAATACTTTTTGGATCTGGCCCTTCTATTGGCCTGACAAAATCGGTAGTAACAGACCTAATTAAAGAACAATCCCTTGTGAAATTCAAAGAAAGATGGGATGAAACAAGAAACTGCAGAGTTGCTAGGGAGCTCTTAAGTTATCTTGACAACACTGAAGCAAACAAATACTTGACTATGACTGAACAAAGTCTGCGCCTAGTCACAGGCGTTCTGACTGGTCATTGCCAAGTACGGAAGCATCTCTATATCATGGAGCTGTCAGAATCCGCACTCTGCAGAGGATGCGAACAAGAAAATGAGATAATCGAGCATATCCTTTACGATTGCTCAACGCTCTCATTTATTAGAAGATTTGTGTTCGGCGAGTATCGGCTAACACCGGCCTATATAAGAGAAGCACCTCTTGGCGACGTTATCAACTACATTAAATCTGTAGTCTGGCTCACGAACTAGGAGGTGTCTATCATCTTAGGAGGATGCACAATGGGCCTAATGAAGCCTAAGTGCCGTGGGGGTAACACACCCTCCACACATTACAGATACTACTACTTCACTACTGGATTTACAATACCACGTTTTTCTTATCTACTTTTTATAAAAAATTATTGATTTGCAAACATTCCGCCAGTAGGCCTTTTTCGTACTGTTTTTTGTAAACAAGCATGTTAAAATGTCCACGTGAAAAAAATTATAATTGACAATTATTAATTTAAGTATATTACTTTAACAGAAGGAAAAAAATTAAGTTATAAGTGTCTTAAATGAAAAATATATTTTTGCAATCATTTATGTTATATGTACAGAAAGGAAAAACGAAACGGTATTTTTATGGAGTATGTAAAAGTGATACGGTATAAATCATTCAAAGGTAAAACATTATAATTTTATAAATTTTCCAAAGACTTGCCTGCAATATCGTAAAAAAACTATTAGTAAGCAAAATACATATTAGAACATGTTCAAAATGAGCATTATGAGTGAAAAAATGTGGACAAAGTGACAAAGGTTTTTGATCGATGTTACTAAAGATACTTATATTTGTTCAGTACATTTTCATTGAGAAAGTTGTTCAATAGAAGAAAATCCTTATCTGGTATTACACAAAAAAAAAATTAATAATAAATATTACTTCACTTTGGTATACACAGTAATATTATTAAAAATGTCATGTTGGTCCTTAAAATATTAAGTAATTTATCTTATTAATTATACTCGTGATTAACTTTCATGTTAAAGTGTTTTTGCAATTAATAATAGTTAGTTCACATAATTAGTTAGAATAGAGTTATAATTATTATTTGTTTTTATTAATTTTTTACACAGTAAACAAGTATTGAAACCTAACCTCTCAATCAGCACACTTTTTTTCCTTGTTCCGAATGTCCACGGCACTTTCAGCACCTTTTGAATTGCTCACAACTATGTGCTTCCACAGAGTTATAAAAATGTAAATCACATCAACTATTTTTAATGATTTATAATGATTGATATGTATGTAGAGATAATATTGCTTTTCCAGCCATTGTTGATCAAAACAGTACCAAACTTTTGAATTGGCGCTATTTCAACATGGCGGCCGCGCTTGTGTTCATCACATGATAAAAAGGCCTATTCAGCTTATTGCCTTAAGGTTACAGTAATTTTCAATTTGTTTTAATACAATTTTAAGAGTTTAAGTTTCGACGGCGTAAGCACGATGCAATTCATGGTTATCAATTGGATAGTTAGAACATTTAATTAAGTCGAAAATAAATCAAAACTCAAATGTGGATAGACGTAAATGAAATAAAATGAATTATTTCATTTAAGTAATACTAAAGTCTATTAAAATTGTTAAATTATGTTTTTGATTTTGTAAGCGTCTTTGTAAATGAAACGTATAAATTTAAAATTTAAAAATTTTAAAATGACATCTCATTTCACAAATGAGACATCAATGATAAGAATAAGTACCTTTCAAACAAGGTGTCACTTAAACTCACTTTCTATTTAAGATTTTAGGGCTGTAAAGCACCCTGTTTAAGGAGTTAAAAATAGTGGTTTAGAAATAAGCCTAAAGGGTTTCCTCCTCGACAAATAAATTGACGTGTTTAGCGTTTTAATGACATTAAAAACCATCTTGACCTTTCTAATGCGGCAGCCGATGTGACAGCTCTGTCTGCCTGATATGACGTTCTTCTTAGTAAACAAAATCAAAGGTAGAG